TGAAACCCTGTCTACCAAAAATACAAAAAATTAGCTAGGCCTGGTGGCAGGCGTCTACAATCCCATTTACCAGGGAGGCCGGGGCTGGAGAATCGCCTGAACCTGGGAGGTTGGTGAAAAAGCAAGACTTTGTCACAAATAAATAAATAAATAAGACACAGATGTGAACATAAAACTCACAGAATAATTAAAGAAGTTCAGTGTTGAGGTGTTTAAAATACATCCACAGATTCTTAATGCTGCTGCCTCCAATAGGCAAAGATTGATTCACCTTTCTTTGAGTGTAGAGAGGTTTTTGGTTTATTTTTATTTTTATTATGACTTTTTTTTTTTTTTCAGACAGAGTGTCACTCTGTCACCCAGGCAGGAGTGCAGTGGCATGATCTCAGCTCACTGCAACCTCTGCCTCCCAGGTTCAAGCAATTTTCCTGTCTCTGCCTCCTAAGTATCTGGGATTACAGGCATGCACCCCTACCACCCAGCTAATTTTTGTATTTTTAGTAGAGACAGATTTCACCATGTTGGCCCGGCTGGTCTTGGACTTCTGACATCAAATGACCCACCTTGTCAGCCTCCCAAAGTGCTGGGATTACAGGTGTGAGCTACCATGCCAGGCCAAATGTAGAAACGTCTTATTAACATATTTGTAATGAATAAAAGTGGGTTAGCTTCTAACAAATATTCGTAGAATTGATGGTGTATCATTTTTAGAATTAGGTTTTAAAAGACTGGGTTCTGTCTTGCTCTGGGGGAAGACATTTTGTGACCAGCCCTATGAAGAGGTGCACATGATGTGAAACTGAAGCCCCCACTGCCAATAGCCATAGGAATCAATTTAGATACTCCAATTCCTTCATAGATTGCAGCCAGCTCTCATCTAAGGTTTACCTGCTGTCTCATGAGACACCTTGAGACCTTACCATTCAGCAAAGCTGCTCCCAGATTCTTTTCTTTTACAAACTGCTTTAGTTAATAAATGTTCCAAGACGCTAAGTTTTGGAGTAAATTCTTACACAGAGTTAAATAAATATTATAAGTAGACTTAGAAGATATCAGAGAAAGGCAACATGAAACAACAAAAGCCACTTTTTAAACATTAGATTGGCCAAATTTTGAAAGAATGATACTCCCCACTAGCTACCATGTATACACTATTGATGTGTATTTAATTGAAACTCCCTGCTTGGGGAATAATTTGCCAAAATTTATCTGTAAAACTTTAAAGTGCACATTTCTTTTTTACTTAATTATTCTAATTCTAAAAATCTAACCTAAAGAATTCAACATTGTAAATGCCCAAAAAGGTATATTTTGGCATCACTGTGTGCAATAGTAAAAAATATATTGCCTAACAACCACCTATTGTATGTCAGGCACTTGCCTTAATGCTTACAAGAGCCTGTGAGATAGGCTCATGTTCAAATCCGTTTTATAAGGGAAACAGGGAATAGAGCTGTGAAATAACTTGCTTGAGGTTCCAAAGCTACTAAGAGGCAGAGAAGAGATATAAAGCCATGCTTTTAGCAATTACAATAGGCTGCCTCTTATATAAAGAAATATATTGAATGTGCTTTAATAAGTGCATGTTTAAATACAAAAACACATTCCAATTATGGACCATTTGATATAAATGTTTAAAATGTAAGGTACATCTATAGTCAGTTTTACAAAGTGATATCAACGATTTGTTTTTCTTTCAGCTGAAGCTACATATCAATGGCTGCTAACTAAATTGCCCAAGGGTGTTAGGCAGGTTATGTTAATGAATATAGTGACCTAGATAGCTCTAGCAGATTGCCCCTATGTGGAACATGGGTTCATTATTTCTGCAGTTTCTGACTTTTTTTTCAAGAGAAACCCTAAAACTCTGACTTTTTAAATGTGAAATCTTATCATATTAAATGAATGGCAATAAATTATATTTTTAAAAATCTAAAATCCAATATGACATTTCTGAATGCAAACCCCTCCCCTGTGTTCCAGATTCCATTCTCCCTGTAAATTAACAATAGTGAATTAACGACAGTTATTCAAACCACCTGACAAAACTTTGCAGAAACATGATTGGCTCCATTATCACATCTAAATAAATAATTCCTTAGTTAAAATGACATTGGCCACACTGGAAGCATAGAAAATGAGAGAGATAGAAGTGCTGCATCCAAGCAATCTCAATACAAATATTGCCACCCCAATAATTAATATATCAGATACTTATATGTTGTGGACTCTGCATATGTTTATAGCAGAATAGTTGAGAATGTGGGCTCTTGAGCCAGACTACATGAATTTGAAGCAGAATTCCACCACACACTAGTTATCCGAACTCTGTGCTTCTGTGCCTCTTTATAAAGAAGGATATAAATGGATCCCATAGATATGCTGTAAGAAAACAATGACTCCATAAATACCAGCTATTATTACTGTAGAGGTAAAGCATTGGATTATGAGAACCAGGTGCCAGAAACCATTCTTATTATTTATCCATCTTTCTGCTGACTTCTTTCTCACAAAACAATTCCTGACTATAATAGACCTGTGTGCAATGAAAGAATGTCTCGGCTTGAAGGTGGGAAAGCAAACACTGTAGTAAAGATCATAGCATATTTTTTATTGCTACATTTTATTTTTTAAATCAAAAGATAAAATTGTATGTTCTTACGATGTACAATATATTTTTAGGAATATACGTATATTGTGGAATGACTAACTTAGCTAATTATCATATGTACTACCTTACATAGTTATTTTTGTGATAAGGACACTTTACATCCATTTAGTATTTTCAGTAATATAATGTATTGTTAACAATAGCCACTATGTTGTAGAATAGATCTCTTGAACGTATGTCTCCTGTTCAATTGAAACTTTGTATACTTTTATCAACATTTCCAAACACCCACCCCCAAAACCATTCCAGCCCCTGGTAACCACCATTCTACTTTCTACTTATGAGTTTGACTCTTTTAGATTATGCAATATTTTTCCTTTTGTGCCTGGCTTATTTCATGTAACATAACATCCTTCAGGTTCATCTATGTTGTCAAAAATTATATAATTTTCTTCTTTTTATAGCTAAATACTATTTCATTGGGTATATTTATTACATTTTCTTTATTCATTCATCCATTGATAGATGTTTTGGTAGATTCTCCATTTTAGCTATTGTGAATAATGTTGCAATAAACATGGAGGTGCAGATATCTCTTTGAAATACAGATTTCTATTCCTTTGGATATGCCCAGTGGTTGAATTGCTGGATCAGATGGTAGGATTTCTTTTTTTTTTTCTTAATTTTTTCAGGGACCTCCATAGTTTTCCATAATTACATGCCCACTAACTGTGTGAGGACTCCTTTTTCCCCACATCTTAGCCAACAATTGTTATCATTTTTTAAAATAATAGTCATTCTAACAGGTGTGAGGCAATATCTCATTGTATTGTTTTTTTTTTTTTTTTTGAGACGGAGTTTCACTCGTGTTACCCAAGCTGGAGTGCAATGGCGCGATCTCGGCTCACCGCAACATCCGCCCCTTGGGTTCAGGCAATTCTCCTGCCTCAGCCTCCTGAGTAGCTGGGAATACAGGCACGCACCACCATGCCCAGCTAATTTTTTGTATTTTTAGTAGAGACGGGGTTTCACCATGTTGACCAGGATGGTCTCGATTTCTTGACCTCGTGATCCAGCTGCCTCGGCCTCCCAAAGTGTTGGGATTACAGGCTTGAGCCACCGCGCCCGGCCTCATTGTATTTTTAATTTGCATTTCTATGACATTTATGATGTAGAGCAGTACATACACACACACACTCACACTTGTTGGCCATTTTGTCTTATTGGGAGAAATAACTATTCAAGTCCTTTGCCTATTTTTAATTGAATTATTTATTTACTTGGTATTGAGTTGAGTAATGTATATTTTTTAGATATTAGGACCTTTTCAGAGGCATGGTTTTCAGATATTTTCTCCCATTCTACCTATCGCATATTCACTATTGATATGGTCTGGCTCTGCGTCTACACCAAAATCTCATCTTGAATTGTAATCCCAGTTGTAACCCCCATATGTTGAGAAAGGGAACCCATGGAAGATAATTAGAACATAGGGATGTTTGCCAATGCTGTTCTCATGATAGTGAGTGAGTTCTCATGAGATCTGATGGTTTTGTAAGGGACAGGGCACTTTCCCCACTTTGCTCTGCACTTCACCTTCCTGCCGCCATGTGAAGAAGGATGTGTTTGCTTTCCCTTTTGCCATAATTGTAAGTTTCCTGAAGCCTCCCCAGCCCAGCAGAACTCTGAGTCAATTAAACCTTTTTCCTTTATAAATTACCCTCTCAGGCAGAATGGACTAATACAACTATATTGATTGTTTCCTTTTTTGTGGAGCATATTTTTAGTTTAATATAATCTGATTTGTATATTATTTCTACTTTTGTTGTCTGTTCTTTTGGCATCCTATTCAAGAAATAATTGCCCAGACCAATGTCATGAGGTTTCTCCCTTATGTTTTCTTCTAGTAGTTTTACAGTATCAAGTGTTATATTTAAGTTTTTGTTCATTTTGAGCAGATTTTTATATATGGTGTGAGATAAGAATCTAATTTCATTCTTCTGCATGTGTGTATCCAGTTTTTCCAGTACCATTTATTGAAAAACCTGTTTTTTTCCTATTCTGTATACTTGGCATCCTTGTCAAAAATCAATTTACTGTAATAAATGTGTGGATTTAATTTTGAGCCCTCAATTATTTTATTTTTAATTTCAACATTTATTTTAGATTCAGAGGGTACATGTGCAGGTTTGTTACATGGGCATAGTACATAAAGTTGAGGGTTAGAGCACATTTGATCCCATCACCCAAGTTGTAAGCACAGTGTACAATAAATAGTTTTTCAACCCTTGCCCCTCTCTCTCCCTTGAGACACTGGTAGTCCCCATGTCTATTGTTCTTATCTTTATGTTCCTGTGTACCCAATGTTTAGCTTTTTCTTATAAGTGAGACTGTGTGATATTTGGTTTTCTGTTTATTTATTAATTTGTTTAGGATAATGACCTTTAGCTACATCCAAGTTTCTGCAAAGGGAAAATTTTGTTTATTTTTATGGCTATATAGTATTACATGGTATAAATGTACCACATTCTCTTTATCCAGTCCACTAATGGGCACCTGAGTTGATTCCATGTCTTTGCTATTATGAATAGTGCTATGATAAACATATGACTGCATGTGGCCTTTTAGTAGAATAATTGATTTTCCTTTGGGTATATAGTCAGTAATGGAATTACTATGTTGAAAGGTAGTTTTATTTTTCAATTCCTTGAGAAATCTCCGAACTGCTTCCCACAGCATCTGAACTCATTTACATTCCCATCAACAATATATAAGCATTCACTTTTCTCCATAACCATACTATTATCTGTTATATTTTAACTTTTTAATAAAAGCCATTCTGACTGGGAATTATGTCATTGTGGTTTTGATTTGCATTTCTCTGATGATTAGCAATGTGGAATATTTATTCATGTGTGTTGACTGCTTATATGTCTTCTTTTGAGAAATGCCTCTTCATGCTCTTCGCCCATTAAAAAAAATTAATTTATTTGCTTTGTACTTCTTGATTTGTTTAAGTTCCGTATAATAAAGTTCTGGATACCAGACCTTTGTTGGATGCATAGTTTATGAATATTTTCTCCCATTCTGTAGCTTATCTGTTTACTCTGTTGATAGTTTGTTTTGCTGTGCAGAAGCTCTTTAGCTTAATTAGATCCCATTTGTCAATTTTTATTTTTGTTGCAGTTGCTTTTGAGGACTTAGTCATAATTTTTATGCCAAGATCAATGTGAATTCTAGAAGGGTATTTCTTAGGTTTTCTTCTAGGATTTTTATAGTTTTAGATCCTGCATTAAAAGCCTAATTCAGCTTGAGCTAATTTTTGTATATGGTGACAGGCAAGAGTCCAGTTTCATTCTTCTGTGTATGGATAGCCAGTTATTGCAGCACCATTTACTGACTAGGGAGTACTTTCTCTATTGCTTATTTTTGTCAACATTGTTGAAAATCAGATGGCTCTACGTGTGTGGCTTTATTTTGATTCTCTATCATGTTCCATTCATACCAGTACTGCCTTCATACCAGTACTATGCTCTTTTGGTTATTATAGCCTTGTATTATAGTTTGAAGTTGGTTAATATGATACCTCCAACATTGTTCTTTATACTTACGATTGCTTTGGCTAATTAGGCTCCTCCTTGGTTCCATATGAATTTTAGAATAGTTTTCTCTAATTTTGTGAAAAGTGATGTTGGTAGTTTTGTAGGAATAAAGTTGAATCTGTTGGTTGCTCTGGGTAGTTTGGCCATTTTAACAATACTAATTCTTCCAACCCATTAACATGGAACTTTTTTCTATTTGTTTGTATCATCTATGCCTTTTTTTTTTTTTTTTTCAGTAGTGTTTTGTAGCTCTTGGTGGAGAGATCTTTCACCTCCTTGGTTTGATTTATTCCTAGGTATTTTAGTTTTTGTGTGGCTATGGAACTACATTTTTTATTTGGTTCTCAGTTTGAACATTATTGGTGTTTAGAAATGCTACTGATTTTTGTACATTGATTTTGCATCTTGAAACGTTACTAAAATTTTTTTTATCAGTTCTATAATTTTTTTGGCAGAGTCTTTAGAGTTTCCTAGATATAGAATTAGAACATCAGTGAAGGGAGATTATTTAACTTCTTCTTTTCCTATATGGGTGCCTTCTATTTCTTTTTCTTGCCTCATTGCTCTGCCTAAGACTTCCAGTTGAATAGGAGAGGAGAGAGTGGGCATCCTTTTCTTATTCTAGTTCTTAAGGGAAATGCTTCCAGCTTTTTCCCATTCAGTATGATGCTAGCTGTGAGTTTGTCATAGATAGCTCACATTATTTTGAGATATGTTCCTTTGTGCCTAATATGTTGAGACTTCTTATCATGAAGGAATTTTAGATTTTGTCAAAAGCTTTTTCTGTATCTGTTGAGATGAACATATGATTTTTGATGAGACACACAGGTAAATGGTGTGTGCCAGCACAGCAAGTGATGAGAAGTGAAGAGGATAAAAAGGAATCCCTATGTACATTTTAAGAAAATTAAATATTTAAATCCAGAAACACAATATATCTTTCCATTTATTTGTGCCTTCTTTAATTTCTTTCAATTTTTTGTAATTTCCAATGTACAGATTTTATACCTACTCAGTTAAAGTTATGACAAGGTATGTATTACTATAACATAAATAGTCCAATAACACATATTTTGTATTGTATATATATAATATATATACTGTATTTTTACAAAAAAGTAAGATAGAGAAAGAAGATTATTAAGACAATCACACAGAAGAGAAAATATAATTACTCTTTATTAAATAGAAGTGATCATCATATATATCTTCATCCTTATCATCTTTATGTTGAGTAGGCTGAGGAGGATGAGGAAGAGGAATGGTTAGTCCTTCTGTCTCGGGGTGACAGAGGCAGAAGAATATTTGTACATAAGTGGACCCATGTGTTCAAACTCACATTGTTTAAGAGTTAACTATGGAATAAAATAAATAATGTCAAAAATATAAATTAATAAAATTGAGAATATACGATAGAGAAAGTCAACAAAAGTCAAAAGCTGGTTTTATAAAAAGAAGAAGAAAATTGATACATCTCTAGCAAAATTCATCATGAAAATATAGAGAAAAACACAGACAAATATCAGAAATGATTAACAGAATGGTACTTTAGATCCTATGGAAAATATTATATAATAACTAACCATTATGATCAAATAAATGTCAATAAGTTTGATGACTTAAATAATATAGGAAAACCAATGAATGATACAAGTTGCTAAAACAAGGATTATTTACCCAGGTCATATTAATGCATTTAAAACCAGAAATACTTATCTGAGGCACCATCTTAAGCTGGTATTATGGCCATATTGTCAGAAATAGTAGAGAACTTCCTAGAGTGATCATGTTCAAACATAATTATTGGGATGTTTGAATTTTATCACTTGCATTTACTTAAGCCGTTGATTATTCGTCTTAAGTAATTTGTGGTGTACTTTGACATCTTGTAGGCACACATTAAAGGGCTTAAAAATAAGCAGAGGAAACCGTCTGTCATCCTCTGTGATTAGTTTTTGATGAAAGACAGATAGATAAAAGAAACAGAACACACGAATAGGTCTAGATTTGTTTGAAAAGAAATTTACAAGTTTAAACTTTCCCACTAGGCCAAGGTGCTTTCACTGGTAGACTCTAACTAACAGTAAAGCAATGATACCAATCTTACACAAACATTTCAGCTATAGAAGAAAAGAGAACACTTTCATATAATTTTATGAGGCCAGACTAATTGTGATACCAAAAGTTGTATATACTTCAAGAAACAAATATCACAGAGCCAGCCTTTTATGAAAAGAGGTGTAAAAATCCTTAACAAAGTACAAAAATACATTTTACATGATATAAATAGCACAAGACATGATAGGCTGTTATCCCAACAATGTAATTTATATTTAACATTTTAAAAGTCAGTCAAAACCATTATCAAATTAATAAAAAGAAAGGACAAAATTAATATGATAATCTTTATACATGTGGTAAAAACATTTGACAAAATCGAGCACCCATCTATGATTAAAAAATAAAAACTAAACTAGGAATATAAAGATAAACCTACAGTTATTATAATGCTTAATTGTAAAATACTGTTTCCACTTAAAATCAGAAATAGGGCAAGGATTTCTGTTCTCGCCACTTATCATCACCTTTGTACTGGAAATGTTAGCTAATTCAATAAGAAACAACAACAAATAACTAAATGATTTATAGGTTAGAAAGAAAGAAAAAAGAAGTGTCATTATTTGCATACAATATGGTTGTTTAGGTAGACAATCCAAAGGAATCTAAAAAAAAGTTAGTAGCTCTAATAAATAAATTTAACAACACACTAAGGTAAAATGACAATTTATAAATATCATTTTGCTGTCTATATGCTAACAATGAACAATTATAAATAAAACTTTCTAAAACAGACCTCTAGTCTGAAAACTACAAAATATTGCTGACAGAAGTTATGGTTTATAAGATACATATAAATTCTCTCTGTTTCTCTCTTTTTTTTTTATTTTTTTTATTTTTTTTATTTTAATTTCTTTTTTTTTTTCCCCCATTTATTTATTTTATTGCGTTTTAGGTTTTGGATTCTCTCTTTTTTAAGAGACAAGGTTTTGCTATGTAACACAGACAGAAGTACATGGAGTAGGGTGACTATTTACAGGAACTGTCATAGCTCACTGCAATCTGGAATTCCTGGGCTCAAGGTAACTTCTTGCTTTAGCTTTTGAAGTAGGGGAAATACAGATGTGCCTCACCATGCCCAGTAGAAGTTAAGTTTAAAAACACCTGAAGCAATGGGGAACATACTATATTAATGGATGAGAATACTAAATAGATTGAACATATCAATTATCTCAAATTACTCAATTTGATTTATTGCAATGCCAATCAAAATCAGGCTTTTAAAATATAAGCAAAAAACTTGACTTGAAAATGTGTGTAGAAATGTATAGAATCAACAGAAACCAGCAAGATTTTGAAGAAAACAAAGCTTAGGAGCTTTAGCTTGTTGATTTCAAAGTTACTACAAAGTTACAGTAATGAAAATACTATATTATTTACATAAGGCTAGATAAAAAGATCATTCAAAGAGATCAGCTTATATGATCTGATCAATGGATTTTCAAAGGAGGCACCTAATACTTTCAATGAGGAAACAACATCTATTTAACAAATAATGTAGAGAAATGAAATATAAAAATGAAAAATATGAACCTGACCTCAACAGCATGCACAAAGATTAATTTGAGATCATTTCATAGATTTAAATTATAAAAGCTAGAATTATAAACCTTCTAGAAGAAAACATAAACATTTTGTGACATTGAGGTACACAAAGATTTCTTAGGCTATTAGGAGCAGTAATCAGAAAGAATAAAAATGGTCAATTAATTCCATCAAACTTAAACACTTAAACATTCATAAGAATGTCAGACATTCTTATGAAAATAGATAAGCTGCAAACTGGGAGAAAATATTTGCAGCGCATATCTATGAAAAGAAAAACCTCATAACTCAACAATAAAAAGGCAGCCCAGTTAAACAATGAGTAATGATCTGAACAAACACTTTCCAAAGAAAAATATGAGTAGCCATGGCTGGGTGCAGTGTCTCACACCTGTAATGTTGTCACAGGAATTGGTAAAGTGTCACTTTTTCAACTTGAAACTTCTGTGGCCAGGGTTACTTTTGCTTGTGTTTTGCTTGGGCCTGCTGAGCTTGTTCCACCCACTCAGCTTGGCAGGCTGCACTCAATTCATGTTACAGGCCCACATCCCATGCCTGCCAAGGGCAAGCCAGGTGTGGAGTGGCGAGGGGTGTGTAAGTAAGCACAGAGTCTGGCCACCGTGCAGTCAGGCATGCCAGATTCAGCAGAGTGAGCAGCTCCAGGCACCACACAGGCACTGGCTCTCTGCGAGGCTGCCGCTGAACCAGACGTACTGCAAGTGACTTCCATTGCAGGCACCAGGGAACACAGTGGCACCCAGAAGTGTGGAGATGCCAGGAACTGCAGAGCCCCAAAGAG